CGACAGGAGGATCGGTGCGGCGTCCGCAGTGATGCGGGCGCTGCATCGGTCTGTCATGGTAAAGAAGGAGCTGAGCCAAAAGGCGAAGCTCTCGATTTACCAGTCGATCTACGTTCCTACCCTTACCTATGGTCACGAAATGTGGGTAGTGACCGAAAAAATGAGATCGCGAGTGCAAGCAGCCGAAATGAGTTTCCTCCACAGGGTGGCTGGGCTCTCCCTTAGAGATAGGGTAAGGAGCTCAGTCATTCGGGAGGGACTTAAAGTAGAGCCGCTGCTCCTCCGCATTGAGAGGAGTCAGATGAGGTGGCTCGGGCATCTGATTAGGATGCCTCCTGGACGCCTCCCTGGTGAGGTGTTCCGGGCATGTCCCACTGGGAGGAGACCCAGGACACGCTGGAGGGACTATGCCTCGGGATTCCCCCAGAGGAGCTGGATGAAGTGGCCGGGGAGAGGGAAGTCTGGGTTTCCCTGCTGAGACTGCTGCCCCCGCAACCCGACCTCGGATAAGCGGAAGTGAATGGATGGATGGATGGATGGATGGATGGAAGTTGCACAAGTGTTTTAAAATGTAACATGTGTTTTATTTTTCAAACTTGTACAAAAATGAGTTTTAAAATGTAACATGTACAGGTGTTTTAGTATTCAAAATAAAAGTTGTACATACAGTATGTATGCAGCATGGTCGTGTTTTTTAAATGTACTAATTTTGGGGGGTGGTGGGAATAAATCGTATTTAAAACAGCACTTCACGTGGAATCTACCAATCTTTACCAGCTTTTGATCCCTGAGCCACACGGGGACTGGGGCTTTAACCATGAGATGAGACTTGACACCTACAGTATGCAATAGATCCTTACGTCAGCAATGGTCCCCATGTACCCAGTGTAGGGTCAGGTCCAGAGAACGACCCACCAACATTTTGTGTATCAACGAATCTGTAACCATTCTTTCCATTCATTATATGCTGAGTTTTCCACAATTGTTTTAATAGCATTTAATTTATAACAGTAGGAGCTAGTAAACTGCATTTAGCAGTCACATTAAAACACATTAAAAACTTTAAAGAATAAAGCCTTACTTATTTTTTCATAAAGACGGCTTTTCAGGAAATGTTGGTTTTACCTACAAGGTGACCCTGCTAATTTAACGCTGCGAACGGTGGGGCCTTTACATTTTTAAGATGCGGCTAACTATCAACTATCCCTGAGACACTTTAGCCAGGATTGTATATATTTGCTCTTAATGCTGCTGTCAACACCAGGGTTTTGTTGAGTCTTATAGGGAGCTGGCTAGCAATAACATTTGTAGCTGGTCTTCCAGCTTGCTGGATTTTTCATTCAGTACATACATGGTTTAGAAGAAAACCTAATCACATTAAAAAATAAATAAACGTACAAAACTATTGAAATCCCCCAGAAGCATGTGGATATTTTTCTGGTTGGTTTTGTGGTTGCCTAAGCTCCGTTGGCCTAGTGTTTGATAGGTGATGGAGAAGCGTATGGTCGTAAACTGCATGCGCTTATGCCAACACGTGTTTAAGTACTGTAGCTACAAACATAAACACTTTCTTTAACAGTTAAACAGTTAAAGGCTCATTTTGTTTTGTTGACATTCTTAATTTTATTAGTATTAAGTAGCCTCTAATCACCTTACATGTGTTCTGTTTTACTGTAGTCACCAATTACAGTATTTTAAAACAATGTCACTGAAATGTCACCACATGTTAAAGCTAACAAGGTAACATGATTATATCAGCGGAACAAAGCCATCGCCAGGATGAATAGGAAGACCATGTGTTGCTCAGCAGATAGACAGCATTTTGAAATCTATTTATTATTAAATAACCATGAGAAAATTACCTGTCATCAAAAAAATGTCAAAACAATAAAATTTGCAATATACAGTTATTAACTTGAACGGAAAGATTTTATTGTGTGTTGTTTTGGACTGCATTGCATTAGCCTATTTAAAGTTATCATCTGCCTTGTGCCCGTAGCTTCTGGGATAGACCCTAACCCTAACCCCCTGTGACCGTGAATAGTATTAAGTGGGTAGAGAAAATGGATGGATGGATGGACAGACAGATGAAATATAGAATGGACGTATAAAAATAGTAATATTCAGTATATTCACCATTCAGTGTGGCCATGAGGAATCCAGTTCTAGCCTGCTGTGGTAGAACCCCACTGAGAGATCCTGTTTGCCTAGCAAAAGCGCAAACACTCTGATGTAACAAGGCACTGCTCAGGGCTCAACCGTTAATAATTAATGTGCCTATTACGTGTGTGTTTCTAAGTGTACTCTAGAGATATGTTATGCCTATTCACAAGGCACACAGTTATGCCTAATCACAAAGCACACAGCACAAGGAAAAAGTTTGATGTACAGCCTGTCAAACTCACAAACTAACAGAGACCTAACTCACAAACTCACAGATTGGTCTAACTCACAAATGTCACAACGCTTCAGCATTAACAAAACTCTTCCAACTAACGTATGGACTGCCATTCAACAACTAAGCATGCTTTCTTAACCTTAAATCTTAAACTAAGATAACAAAAATGTCTCATTTAGATTCAATTTTTAAATATTGAATGTGCCTATTATATGTGTGTCTCTAACTGTATTCTAGAGATCTCTGGTTATGCTTATTCACCAGTGATCACTACTCTAAGACTACAAGGGAAGCTCCGCCTCCTCAAAAATGTCACAAATTTTTTTGTCAAATATGTCCTGTTGTTTTCACATTGCTATTACAAAGAGTGTGGTAGAACAAGTTCAACTTCATAGTTCATAGGTAGTTCATTCAGAATCAGCTATTTCTTGCAGGTTGTCCAACGTGATTTTGTTTCTCATACAATACATTCCTGTGGCAGCCTGATCCAATAAAACCCTTTCAAGTGCAGCTTAAATAGACTTCAGTGGCACTTCTGCTTTCAGTGCAGAAAAGCTAGATGTTTATTGGACAAGTGCTTCAAGTTCAGCATCTTGGAGTAAATGGTGATTGGAGAAACTGTCAAAGTGGCCGGACATCTTTTTGATTGACAGTGCTTTGAAAGTATACTTCGGCATTGGAACATTTCAAGTCCTATGCGGATTTTCGACAACTAAGGTCTTTTCATGTTTTCAGTTTTCATTTGTACGTATCCCACTGTAAATAAAAACATACATTCTTTCATCTGCATCAGCAATTTTGCCCAGTCACCCCCTCATAGGCCTAATAATGGTGTGATTGATTTGCTGCCATCAGCATGACATCCCATCCCTGCACGTTTAACACAAATAATGCTCACACCACTTGTATTTATAGAAAGCAACATGTCATTGCTTTAGTGTGGAGAATATATATATATATATGTGTGTGTGTGCCATGCATAGTGTTACAAACTTGTGTGTGCACTTTATCTTAGTTGAAATTAGTCAACTATTATCTTAGTTGAAATCAAATTTCTTAGTTGAAAATAATGATTTCAATTTTTTATAAATATTTATAAATTATATAAAATGAACATAAAAAATTCAGGTATTTGTTTAGGCATAATTTTATGATTTTTGAATTCAGATTCATTGTCTAGAATTGAAATTGTGTTTTTCTGTATTCATTGCTCCAGTAATGGACTCGGTCTTGTTTTGTTGAGTTGTTAAAGATACAGTCTTGATTCAGACTTGACTAAGGTGACTCAAACTCAGCCCTGAAAACTTAGGACTATTTCAGAAACATGCAAAGAGGCCTAACTTACATACAGGCTTAATTCATAAACTCACAAAGAAGCCTAACTCACAAACACATAAACTCACAGAGGCCTAATTCAAAAATGTCACAGCACATTAGCACCAAACAAACTCTCTGCCAACTAATGTACAGACTGCCATTTAACAGCTTAATATACCATATACATTTTTGACATCTGAGAAAAAAATCCATAAATGTTGAAACTAAATTAAAATGTAATTTTGTTTAATATGGATTTAATTAATAATATGGCCTCACACCTTCTGTTCGGGTGCTTTAAATCCAACATTTTTTGGGGTGTCTGGTTTGCTCCTGCTCTGCTACAATATCTGGTCAGGTGAACTATGCCCCTAAAATGCCTGAAATATGTGATTATGTCAGTTAGAAACCTTTAACCAGTACATATAAAGTATTCGGTGTTCAGATATGGTGTGTTTGCACTTGAGTCTCGAAAACACTGTAGGGTAAAGAATCAGAGGTGTGCCTGTAAACTGCCACCAGGTGGGAATTTACACACCTGTTGCTTAGATCCACTTTGTACACAATTGTTCAGGTATACCTATGAATAATTCATCCTGGGGTAAGTTTAGACTATAAATGCACCACCTTTAGCACCATGTTGTCAGTGTGGTACTTAAGAGGACTTTAAGGACACTAGGAAACATTTGGTACTTTCTAATGTATAAGAACAACAAAACTTTCTTTTTTTTAATTACTAAAAGCACAGTAAACTACTTTTGAGATTCAATTTATTTTTAGTTCATTCATTTTTTGTTATTTTTCTTTTTTCCTTCTATCTGCTGACTTACACTTTCTAGTGCAACAAATATTTCTTCTCATTGTGCTTGTAGTGTTTTATTTCTAGGTGTACAAAAAGTGTGTATATGTGTCTATCTTTTTCCGTATTGACTTTTGAAATGGAAGTCAAGCGACGCTAACAACCTGGTATTTTCCCTTCCAAGGAAATGTGATGGCTTTGAATAATACAACACTGCATTCTAATGTCATCAACTCTTCTGTAAGAATAATCAACGAGCAAGTATTAATAGTGCAAGTGTTAGTGATGGTCTTCCTCTATATCAACTCTCTCCTCATTTTCGCCTTCTTCAAAAAGGAAACCTTCTACACCAACACACGTTACATTTTCTTTGCTCACACCCTGATTTGTGACTGTGTTTTCCTTTTCATGTCTGACCTTTTGCTTGTAATGAGCTACTTCCAAATCCCAATGCCTGCTGGACTGTGCGTCATTATCTGCGTGGTAATGATCATTCTGACTTTCGCTACACCGCTCACCCTGACGGCCATGAGTGTGGAGCGCTACGTGGCCATCTGTATGCCTCTGAGACATGCTGAGATCTCTACTCCTCACCGAGCTCTGTATGGCATCCTGGTCATCCACGCTTTCAGTGTCCTCCAG